ACAAGGAAAAATACTCATTAAATATGCTTTAAAAAAATCCGAGGTTCGATTGTATTGAACGGGCTGGCATACGGCCACTATTCACAGGCGCGATCCCACTAGTGCCTTACACGGGGACTTTCGTTTGCTGCATTTTCACCCTGGACTGAATCAGCCCTACTTAAACAACCTAGTCAGTTGGAGCTCCAACCAACTAACCATATTGATGGCGGGCGTAGTGCGGATACCCGATCGTCATAATGGAAGGCAAACCAGGAACCCCACTCTGAAACCGTCCACTCAAACAAGCCAACAAAGCAGATGGATTACAGGAGTACGCCACAACGCACAGCTATAGGCAAATGCTCTTTTTTAACTGTTAAAAATAACTTTAAATATTCCATATTTCTTTTACTCAATAAACATCTTTAAAATTTTTCTCCTTTTTCTTAAGCTAAATTATTATTAATTTTATTTTAAATACCATTTTCAATAAAATTGAATAAAAATTGATTTAAACTACATCTTAAATAATAGCCTCGTTTTCATAACTTATTTTCAGTTTTTATTTTTACACCCCTAATTTTAATGACAGCCATATTGAATTTTTGTTAGTTTATACGCATGGTTTGCTTCGTATTTCTATTTGTAGATTGTCGTTTTCATTTTGATTTATTATTTTTTTTAAAGTAAGGTTTATTGTTGTTTAAGTTGTTTCTTTCTTGTTTTGCCTTATATTGTGTAATATTTTCTCCGGGTCTTCGCTTGTATAACCGTTGTTTTTGTAATTCCGTTTGAACTGTTTAATTGTTAACTACATTAATTTTATTTTTTTCTGTATATCTAATTTTTCTTTCCTTTTTAAATTTTAGTCGTTTATATTATTCTGTGACCACTTGTTCACGTTTTCTTCTTTTCAAATCTGTGATTTAATTTTATTTGTCTGAAAGATTAATGTTTATATATTTTTTTGTTTCCGTGCAATTAGAAAAAAGAAACTCCCTACATTTTCTGTTTTTGTAATGGTTAGAAAAATATTTTCGGGACTAATAAAAAAAAAAGAAAACCCACCCGATAAACAACATAGAAATAAGCAAGATGAAGATCTAGTGAAATTGATGGATGCTGAAAAGAGCCCGCAGTTGGCGGAAAAATAATTATAGCGAAAGTATTGTAGCTGAAAATGAACAAAGTTTGGAAAAACCAGACGAAAGGATGGTGGCCGAAAATGGTCAAAGTGTACCAATTCAGACCAATGATACGAAGAAAACGAAAGCAAAGATGAAATTTAACGGTCGGACAGACGCATTCTTGCTGGACGTCCCCACGAAATGTACTGTCAATATGACTGAGTTCCTCGAAATAAAAGTTACGCACATCTGGTCCCAGCAGATGGGCTTTTTGTAAATGCAGAGGAATTACAGAAAGTTGAGAAAAGAATTGTATCAGTCCTTGGGTGGACAAGCGTTCGCGCAAAATCTGTCGCTCCACCAAAGACACCGTAATAAATCACTGATTTCTCTAGGGATCAAATGTCAGAGAGTGATCAAAGGAAATAGATACTTTATGTGGGACGTACTGTTACCCACACCTGCCGATTGTGAAGCCGCACCCGGTCGCAATCTAATTACAAATGACCATATTCTTCGTACAGAACATGAAAGCAGGCGGTTTATCAAGTTATCTGTATTTGAGGTTTCTTTTCAGATAGTCAGGGAGCACAGGGATGTATGTCTATGCCAATATGGAGGGATACTCAGTGTTTCCTCTGAGGATTTAACCTGTTCACCTGTCCTCTTCCTGCATGGAGAAGAAGGCCTCTGAAATTATGGCCCCTGTCGACCCAAACCCCGCTGCGACCGAGCCTGTTATTTCCGTCTCGCCTGTTATGGGCATGCCAACGATCTGGACCGGTGTGTTTAAACCCCCGGTTGGGTGTGTTTCTCAGCCCCCATTCCCCGAAAAAACGTTGCCCGCCGCTAATACGATAACGGAGAAGAGAGATGGTGAATGGCATGTCCTTGACATTGTCAAAGGGATGTTCCGCGAAGCGGAATCTCGTTCCACAGATGTCCCCACGGCTAAAGACCCGCACAGCCCAACTCCTCTACCAGTTCTAAGGGTGACTACGACCACCCACACATTGTTTTTTTTCTTTAAAACGGACTTTTTTCAACAGTCAGCACTATGTTTTTTTAGCTATTATCTGGACATTGACTCTGCACCATTGGATCCATTTTTCTCCGGGTTCTTTGCGGGTTCTTGGTCCGAATCTTCCTTCTATATCCCCTGCCCTTTCCTTGCCTGCTTTGGCGTTTATGTCTCCCATGATAATGATGAATTCCTGTGATTTGCATATAAACTTTGCACTATCCAGAATGGAGTAGAAAGATTCGATGTCCTCCTCTTTCTTTTGTGCCGTCGGTGCGTACACTCGTATAATATCCACGTTGATTGGCTCCCTTTCAGCTTCACTACCAGAATTCTTTCGGAAAGTTTGTTGCATCTTAGAACTCACTATCTAGTATTAGTCCTCCTCCTTTGTCTTTCCTCGCCACCTGCATAAATTATCCATTGGGAACGAGAGTTATTTTATTTTCGCTACAAGAGTCTGTGTCTGGCCATCTGGTTTCAGATATAACTAGAATGTTGATGATCATTTCATCTCTTGTTTAATATAATCAAACTGTCGACAGTTGTTCAATATTCCGACGTTTCATGTCCTGAGAGTTATTTTGTGTTTGATGGGAGCAATCGCAGGATAACGGTCCGGTGACACCTGTCTCCATCATGACGTTCCTTTCTGGGGAGGCATAGAGTCCGAGGATTTATCAACAATTTAATTAAAATTTTAATTAATTTCGACGAATTTGAAACAATTTAAGTAAAGGTGAAATTGAAAAATGATACAATAGTTATGATGCTGTTTCGTCCTAAATGCTACACGATGAAGAACGGATATCTCTCTCTATATGTGTATCTCTATCTATAAAAGGCAGGATGTGTGTAACGAATGCACGGCCGCAATTTTCCACATGCTCCACGTTAGCGGGCAGGCCAAGAGATAGAATTAATATTGTTACACTGGATACAAGGAAAGATGAGTGATCTGTCTGTTTTGTTTTGTATTTACCCTGAACTAAAGCAGGGTTTCAAAAATAAGTCCTCCGACTCATTGATATATTCCCAGAGCCACGGAAATCTTAATATTTATTTGTAAAATTACAAAATGTGCCACAAGGGCGAATTTTGGAGGTGGGGGGGAAAGAGTTTGGTCATCTCTAGTCTTGATTTGTAACTGGCTAGCCGCTCTCATTGACCCATTCGTACTGACAATAAACCTTTCTCCATAATACCATATTTGCACTAACCTCTCGCACCACAATTACCAAAATACCTCAATTATTCCACTAGAATCCTAGCATGAAAATGTTATTTACTCAAAAGCTGGGCGGGGGATACAATGGATATATACAATGAATGAAACCTGAAAAATAAATAGTTGTTAGTATCGGGTCCCGCCCAGAGGTGAAAAATATGTCAGAAATCCTGGTTAACTGGGCAGAAATATCAGATATTGTTCATATCTGATCTCGCCAGAAACAAGAATGTCTGTCACATAGAGAGGAGGGAAGGGATGGAGCATGAAATACAGGTGGGACCAAAAAAGGGAACCTAAACACTTGCATACTCTAGCTAGTTCTGACAAAGTCTGTCAAAAGCCTATCTTACGTTAACCGGGTCTGGGTTGACTGACGTTTCGGCGCGTGGCCCAATGTCCTTTGACCTAAGTCGCGTCTAACAACCACTCAAGGTTAGCTCCTCTCACACGCACCAATTGCGAAACTCTCACCCAACATTTGCCGAATTTCAGCGAAGAGAGACGCACCTTTTCCGCCCTGATCTTGACTTTAAGCTGATGCTTAAAGAAAGCGACCAGTTGAGAAGAGGAGAACTTCTCGCCTCCGTGAAATACCTTCTGTCGCGTCGTCCACACAACCATTCGCATGATGCCAAACAAACACAAGATTACATACTGCTGGTCCTTTGTCACTGGCGGCAGCACGTTGGAACAAACCGTGCTGGCATCAAGGAAGAAGAACTTTCCGCCCAGGATGCGAACCATGTAAATTCAATCAGCCTACACAGCGGGTTTACGACCCTACAGTGAAGGAAGGCGTGCGCAATGGACTCGTTCCAATCACCCGCTAAAACTACTTGGCGAGACGTCATCAAAAACGGCTCGACCCGCCGAAAAAAGGCAGCCCGCTCCGCCTCGTCGTTGGGCGCATAAACCCTGATGAAGCGAAGAGACTTCCCCTTTATGGTGACATCCAGGACGCAAAGCCTGCCCTCCGGGTCAGGGTACACAAGGTTACACGTCGCCGTCAAGGCCCAGCTGACTAGCCAAGAGATCCCTCTGGAGCGGTTATCAAAATATGCCGAGTAGAGGTGGAACCTCTTCGACAGCACATCTTCATAGTCGCTGGCAATAAGATGGGTTTCTTGCACACAACACACATTCACGCCGAGGCGCTGAAGCTCGCGTGAGAGTCTCGCCCTACGAGACTCCGACCTCAGGCCTCGGCCATTCAAAGTCGCTAACCAAAGAGCCATGAAAGACACTTACTTAGGGTTGAGCCTCGCCCCGAAACATAGTCTTGGTGGGGATGCCGACTGCTTCTCCCAGACGTCTTGGGATATACCACCGACATCCCAGGGAAAGGTTAATTTTAAGGCCTTATAGAAGGATGGGTGGACCAAAACTGGGACCCTACCATTACAGAAATGTTTAAGTCTGGAAAGGTCCTAATTGTCTGTAATCATGATGGGTGTGGAATCCTGGAAGGCTTTTTGGCCTCCTCTATCATGCCCCACACGTGTCGTGATCCCGTACCGGTTCGAACTACGGTGAGGACCATTTTGGCCTGAGGAAAGTTGACTGGATCCTCCAGGTCATCCTCACCGCATTTCTTCATGGCCAGGAGGACCTTCTGGTCACTTGTCCTCCTGCCAAAGTCTTAGGCCTTCTGTGCGCTATCGGCGGTCACACGGCAGACGTTCTTCCCCGTGTTGTACAAAAGCTTTGTCTTCCGCCTCTTTCCGTCGACGTCCTCCGAGGGGCTTCTCAGTCTCTTCCCCGGTGTAGCAAAGTCTTTTTTTGTGGGAGTCTCTCCCTTATGCACCGGGGTTGTGGCCCTCTTTTGGGGGATGTTGAGTGGGCTCTTGGAGGCGGTGGCAGAGTTTTTGCTTTGGTCGGGGAAGGTGGGGCAGAGGATGGGGGGGCCAACAGTCTTTGGTGATGGTGGTCTTGTTGGTCTCGTTGTTGTTGGTGTTGTTGTAGGTCTCGGTGTTGGTGTAGGTCTCGGTGTTGGTGGTGGTGTCGGTTCTGGTTGGGCCAGCTGCTTCTCAAAGTCGGCCCTCACCTCCTTGGCCCGCTGTATCTTAGTTGATGGCGAGTGATCCGTCCCGGGGGCTGGGGCCGAGGCATCACCCACACTGCCGTCGGATGTGGAGACGTCGCCACTCTGCTGCGTGTTCGGACGCGCCGCCGCCCTCGCTTTCCTCTTCCACTTGCCAACAACCTTCCAATCCCCTTCCTCTTCTTGGGGTCCGGCTGTCTGTCTGGGGTGAGAAACCCCTGCGCAAGCAGAGGCCATATGGCCGGGTTTACCACATTTCCAGCATGTCGGTCTCCTGCCTGTTACAATGACGGGCAGCATTTTTTTATCGACATCCAACATGCTGGGAATGTCGCCAAAGGCCTGTTCGCCCAGCATAATGTCGAAACTCCATGAACCGAGCCTGACATCCGAGGAGACGCTGAGGATTTCTCCGAACTGCTTAAAATAGGCAGCCAGCGCCTCTCCATTTACTTGGGCGGGAACCTCGTGGACATACACCCTGGTCCGTCTCATGCCCCTGTACTCTGTACGAAGGATAAGATCCTTTGGTATAAGGTCACTGTTAATCATAGCGACGCAATCTTCTGACGAGGGCAGCAGCACGTCCCACATAAACGCTTTCGTTCCACGAACAATCTGCTGGGGCGCAAACCCCAGAGACGTCAATGACTTAAAAACAATGTCTTTCGTGGATCGACAAATCGTCCGGGTAGAACCACGAAGATGGACATTGTCCTCTTGGCGAACCTCTCCACATCCTCTGGATCAAGGGTCAGCCCGCCTTTGTTCAGGAGATGGGTGTACCCATCGGCCCTATCAAGAAATTCCTTGAGGTTGAAGCCTGGAACAGTAGGGGACTTCCATTTGGAGGGTAGTACCTCAGCCACAGTCTCTCGGAAATCTTTAGTAAAAGGCGAAAGATTTATCCGCAAATGATGACAGGAAAACAACGTAAATACAGATGAGCCACGCCCGTGTCGTGAGATGAAAGTAAACAGGTAACATTTACTGGGCTTACATTGTGAAAAATTTATATTTATTAATTTACTATCCAATATCAAGAATGACCCTTATAATTATTCTATTTATATATATATTACGCAATGTCTAAAATGTTAATGTTGCTAAAATCATTATAAGAAATGAAATATTAAACGCTTTATTCTCCCCATTCCTGGCTGATAAACGCAATGACCTTCACCTTTGTATAGGGGGTCCTCATTTGGTCATTGCTCCCAAAATATATGCCGATAAAAGCTCTTGAAGAGGCGCGATATAAACAGTTTCAATGGACAACACTTGCTTATTGCATAGCACAATAGTATTATAGATAATAATCGCTAGAATGATCCGTGAAAATTTTACGGTTTTCCTATTTAAAGTTTCTGATGAATCTTAATTCTTACCTTTTAAGTACGTATGTTCAATTCTTTGGTAAAAACGGAGCATACCGACCACTTGAAAAAAGTCCGCAAACCTGATGAAACAATTTTTATCGTCTAAATTTTTATTTTATTATTAAGAGGAAAGACCAAAATAAATTTTAACATTTTTTAAAATGTTTTAATCTTTTCTAGCGCATCCGAAATTTGAGTTAAAAATCACTTTCTTCCTGATTCAACAATATTTCTATAAAATCGATCATGTCAGCCATTTTTGACAACTTCATAAACAAAAGTGAAATTCTCCATTTCAGAAATTATCCGTAGAAAAAATATTTAGCTGGAAATAAGAGAAGCATGTCTCATCGTGGTGATTGGTTTTGGAGATGTGAACTGATTTTTCAATAAAGTAGTTGATAAACGGACAATGAATCAAATAGAATGTAATAAACAAAAGGAAGTGGAAATGTAAAAAAAAAAAAAAAACAATGGAGCATTTCAAAAACAAATAAATAATATTGCACACAAAAGTCATGGATATGGAAATGAGACGTGAAAAAATGTCTACAGCAAAGTATAAATGTCAATACAAATCTACATCATAATCAAGCGAAAATATGAAACGAAAAATTAATGATGCTACATATGTGGAGATAAAAGTGATAGAAGTATAAAAATAAACATAAGTGAAAGTAGCAATTTGGCTTGGAAGAAATGTAAGAGAAGGCATGATTGGGTAGTGACGTTAATACACCAGGAACTGTGCAAACAACTCGAATTTAACCATTTAATTGCTATAAAGTGAATTGGTGTTTAAATGCAAATTATGAGTTCAGTAATGACTGACAGAATTAATCGTGCAATAAGAATGAAGTATTAAACTATAGACTAAAACATTATTGCCACTGATCATAAAAACTTTGATGAGAGGCAGACTATAAATAAATGCTATAGCAGATAAACAACAAGAGAAGCAGAAGAATTTTAGATTGAAAATTTATGGCTATCATTTGAGTTGACACTATTTTCATTTGTTGCCTCTCTCACACTAATGTAATTATTTAACTTTTACAATATGGATGGCCTAAACTATGTTTCCTCTTCATACAAGAGTACGCAAACACACACACAAGTACACAAACATACACACACTCATGTAGCAAATGCGAAATAATAACTCCTTTTACATACTCATTTCGCGAGCGTATGTGAAATTTTCTGTGGACCAATGAAAACTTTGCCTGCAGAATAATTGACCGGTGAGCTGAAAAGAAAGAGAAAATAAATTCTTGAGTCTATGTTAAACTGTTTTAGGACCAATGAAAACATTGTCTTCACAGAAATTAGCCGCTGATCCAAGAAAAAGAAAACCAAAATAGCGAGCCTATGCGAAATTCCTTTTGATATAAAATGAAGAGAAAACTTTTAATGACAGAAGAGTGTCTAAAGTCATGTGAAAAATGTCGTTGCAGTTACTCTCGTCCATAGTTGCCAGTGTAAAATTACTCGCCAATTAAATTATCGGCTTTTAACGTAGAACTTAGAAATTCTAAGAATTTTCTTTCAACATTTAAAAAAAAGCTAAATATATCAAAGTATCTTTCTTCGTCTACTTTTGAAAGTATACAACCATATATTCCTTTAGTGTGCAACAAACTCTCTTACCTTTGTTTTAAACATTTTAATATAATTTTATGTCAAATCTTTTAATCTGTTGTACGAACATTTCTTATTCGTGACAATTAAAATAATACACTTGAAAATCTTCAGATTTATTTTTCTGAAATGAACTACTGACACAACTTCAAGCATGTAAATTTATAAATAAATTCATGATCTTTTTCGTTAAAATTACCCGTGTGTTTCGTCGTCATTATCACCCTTCCTCAATCTTCTTGGATTAGAATAAATGAACTGTTCATTTTAATTAATCCCAAGCCCCACGTCACAGCACACACACACACACACGCAAAGACACACACACACGGAAAGACACACACAATCACAGATTACCTGTATTCATACAAGAAAGGTCATATCTGAAAAGATTGAAAACTTTACCCAGGGAAACAAATTCTCTAAATTTTGCTCTATTTGATTATTATATAATTTACAGAACCAGCTTCATGGAATTGTACTTAAATGTGTAAACAGATAGAAACAACACTTTCTTAATGTTTTCCCTTTTTTAATACTTTTACTAAACCTATATTAGGAAGACTGTGTGTGAATTCACAGATTGTTAATAATGATCAAATGTAATGATTTGAATTGAAATGTTCTAATTAAACATAAATTTAAGATATTTCCTCTGTCCTGGTGCGAAATCCATGCTAACCTTGTAAATAGCTTTCAACAGAGAAATTAATTCTATTGGCTACATTGGTAAAGTAATAAAGACATTTATGCAAGTATCATGGGTCAATGCTGGAAATGAAAGCGAAATAATTCGAAAGAATAAATACAATATTTTTCGAAGGAATAAATACAATATTTTTCAGAAATCTTTAGTTTGTACCTAAAAAGGTACAAACTAAAGATTTCTGAAAAATATTGTACTTATTCCTACAGTGCATTGTGAATGAGTAGCAAGATTAGAATGCAGAATTGAGGCCGCCTGAAAAGTAGAATGATTTAAATTTAGAAAATTCATGCGAATAAAATTTATGAAATAAAAAGCAAAATGATTTCATTCGTATGCAATAATTACTTCTGAATATAAAGTTTACCTCAAATGATTAATAAGTATATGTAAATTGAGTACACATGCACAGAAATGAAAGTTTGAATAGATTTTGAGAGAGGTCGAACACTGGCAGAGAAAATAATTCGTCCCGCTCTTCACCATGAGAGCAAATCTGACAGAAGTTATACACAAGACGTTAACACCACCAGCGATGTTTAATAAGCGGGTGTCCCAGGGTGCTTCATGGAAAGAAAAGCAGCAGTTGGGAGAAAACAACACTATAACGGTTGTACGATATTTACATTTCTCCTTTAATGAAATTTTTCCATAGACTAATCTTTGTTTTTGTTGTCATGTTTACACATTTTTCAGTAACAAAACAATCCAAATTCAGTCGACATTACAATTTTCGGTGAACGATATAAAAAAGCAAAATTGATTGCCCCGAAAAATATTCGAAACCTAAAGATGTGTATTGAATTTGGTAACAAGTACAGTTTGTATCTGGTGATAACGGCCAGGAGTTAAAATTATGTGGATGATTTTTAAAAGAACAATTCCTCATCAACTAATAGACGTCTCGATGACTTCCGTTTCCGGAAGGTGGTAGTAGAACCGTAAGAAAGAGACACTGTTAATATTGTCAGTGCGTATGGGATGAAAAAATAGGGGAAGAATGATAAGTCTGATTTTGGTTTCTTTTTACCCTGCAATAAAGCAGGGCTTCAAAAATAAGTCTTTCGACTCATTGATATATTCCCGGCCACGGAAATCTTTAGTAAAAGGCGAAAGATTTATCCGCAACTGATGACCGGAAACCAACGTAAATACAGATGAGCCACGCCCATGTCGTAAGATGACAGAACCAGGTAACATTAACTGGGCTTACATTGTGACAGAATTATATTTTATTAATTTCCTATCCAATATCAAGAAGGAAACTTATACTTATTCCATTTATATATATATGTATATATATTACACAAAGTCTAAATTGTTAATGTTGTTAAAATCATTATAAGAAATAAGATATTATTAGATTTATACACCACACTCCTGGCTGATAAACGCAATGACCCTCACCTTTGTATAAGGGCTTCTCATTTCGTCATTGCTCTCAAAACATTTCCCTATTAAAGTTTTTGTAGTGACGCGATATAAACAGTTTCATTGGGCAATAATTGATT